AAAAAAAAAAAAAAAAAGTTTCTTTGTTTTGTGTACAGCTGCCCATACCCTAGGGTCAGTAAAATTTAAAGAACAGATACTGTTTTCTGCCCTTTAGCAGATGAGGAAACTGAAACTGTTTAGTTTGTCCGTGCTGTTATCACGCAGTTCCTGAGGAATGCCTCATAGAGAAGGGCACACACATCTTGCTCACAGTTCTGGAGGACAGGAAGCCCGAGGTCGAACCACAGACAGGTTTGGTGTCTGCTGAGAGCCGCTCTCTGGTTCTGGGATGGCACCCTGCGGTCACATCCCCAGGAGGAAGGAGGGACAGACGTTCACAAGGTCCAGTGCTGGGGGAAGTCTCTCTGTCCCTGTCCCCACAACCACCTTTTTTTTTTTTTTTTTTCAATACTGAGAACTGAATTTGGGATCTTTTCACAGAGCTACCTCTCTGGGCCTTTTTATTTTTTATTTTGATAAAAATAAAAATCACTCATTTGTCCAGGCAGGGTTTGAACTTGCAGTCCTCAGTGTCAAGGCTGCAGGCATGCGCCACCCCACCAGCCGTGAAGCCTCTTCTTTTTAGGCTTCAATTCCACTTAGAAGGCAGGACCCCTCCTGCCCCATCACTTCCCATGGGCGTCCCCTCTTAATACCCGTGTCCAGAGACAGGGCTCAGCGGGAACTTGGTGGATGCCCATAGCAGAGACTAAGAAATGATTTATTCAAGATCACAAGACTCCTAGTAAAGAAAGAAACTAGTACCCAATCTAAGCTTCAGTCTCAGAAATTATTTTCCACTCACTCGTCACAGTGTCTCCGTCCCACCACCCACAATGAGAACAGGACAGAGCTCCGTGACCTGGCCTTCACCAGTGGTAGGTGTCAGATGGTGCCAGCCTGGCCCTGTCTCATCGTCACTGCAAGAAGTAAATAGGTCACTTGATTGGCTCAAGGCTTTTGTTTTCTCTGAAAATTTGTGAGCGGCTGAGGCAGCCTGGGGACCAACCCCAGGGGTCCTCTGTATTTGATTCTTCACTGAACTATACCCCAGTCCTTTTCTGTTTTTTATTTTTACCCAGTGCCTCACTAAATTGCCCAGGCTGGCTTTGAGCTTGCAGCCCTCCTGCCTCAGCCCGCTAGGACTTTAGAGTACAGGCATGCACCACCACACCCCAGTCCTGCAGGATTTTCTAGGCTCAGCGCGCTAAGGTTCACAGCAATGGCATTTCCAATTAGAAACAAATAAAATAAGAGCAGCTTGGCTTACATTTCGGGGAACTAAGAGAAATTCATCCCAAAGATTGGCAAGAAAAGGAAGAAATAGAACAGTTCTAGACTTCAAAACCCTGGTAGGTTTCACCACTCTGGATAACTATGTGGTATTACCCAGAAGACCGTTGAGAAGGATTATGGGACAGTGATAGAAAGGAACAATACCTAACATTTTTTGAGGAAGCACTGTTTCAACAACCTTGTAAACACTGCATCATTTCATTGTCAAACAGCCCTACCACAGCAAGCGCCCTTACTCCACTTCAGGGGCGAGAAAACTGAGTCGCCATTCAGTTCTGCACCTGGTCATGTTCTGAGCAGTCGGCAACAGAAACGGTGTGCAGGTCTGGTGACAACACGGCAGTGTCCCCACGGGGGAAAGGGCGCTGCTGAGTGAGGACACCCGAGGGGCCAGGCGGTCGAGGCGGCACGCCAGGGACGTCTTGATACTGCGACGGGTTACATTCCAAACCCTCCAAATACCTCCCAGACTCAGCAAATAAAAAAACTTACAGGACACCCAGCTCAATTTGAACGCGATGAATGATGAACAATTTTTTAACCTAAGTGCGGTTGTCCCTCTGTCACTGCTTGCCATCTGCTCTAGGCTGCCCCACAGATGCCGAAATCCATGAACACTCATGTCCCCCACGGAAAGTGGCAGAGCAGTATGATCTGAGCATCCTCCTGTGCCCTGGGCACGCCCTCCTGTGTGCACGGGTCATTCCTAGATCCTGCACGTACCTGACACGATGGAGACAGTAGGGAAATAGTAGTTATGCTACATTATTTGGGGGAAAATGACCAGATAAATGCCTGTGCCTGTTCAGTACAAGTGCAACGTCCTTTCTGAACATTTTCAATCTGCAGTTGGTAGAATTCGTGGGTGCGGAGGGCCAACTGCACATTCCAATCTGCATGGGGACTACTTAGGATAAAAAATGCTCATTGTTTAGCTGAAATTCAAATTTCATGGGATGCCCTGTATTTTATCTAGCATTCCTGCTCCAGAAAGAAAGAGCAATTTGTCTCATTTTATTCTTACCTCAAGCCCACACACATCTTTTTCCCGAGATTCTTTTTCCCAAATGACTGGTAGCTTTTTGTTTAAACCAGGTTTCAGCAAACTATCACCCACATCCCAAATCCAGCCCACAGCCTATCTTTGCACCATCTTCAAGTTAAGAATAGCTTTTTTGCTATTTTTCAAGTATTGAAACAATCAAAGGAAGGGCACACTATGACGTATTAAAATTACATGAAATTTAACTTCCAGTGTTCCTAAAGTTTTACTGAAACATAGCCAAGCTTACTTGTTGGCGTAAAATCTCTGGCAGGGCTGGGGATGTAGCTCAGCGATAGAGAGCTTACCTAGCATGTACAAGGCCTGGTTTCCATCCTCAGTACTGGAAAAAAAAAGCTAAAAAAAAAAACAAAAACAAAAACTCTATGGCCACTTTCACTGCACAATGGCATTTAAATAGATGGGATAAAACTATAACGTCTGCTTAGCCCGACATATTTTCTGTCTGTCCTTTCATGGGAAAAAATTAGCCGAGTCCTTTTTTGAGACAACTTCTCATTGATTATGTGGGAAATAAAGAGGTTGCAATCACAAGGTACCAAAGTGTTTTTCCAGTGGATAAATTGGCCCCTAACAACAGCCCAGCTGTTAACAAAACTGACCACCTCCCCTACGAAGTTGGAGACAGAAACGACTGAGCAGCTAGAACAAAGGCCATGGTGACGAACTGTCCCCCACCAGCCCTCCTTCCAGATCCTTCCTGCCTTGCCTGGGACAGCCCCTGACTAGCAAAACTGTGTGCTTCTTCTTTATTGTTTTCAGAGACACGGGCCCTCAAACACATTGTACCACTTGGTCAGGGACGTCAAAAAGGTAAGAAACCTCTGGCCCGCGGGTCAGAGGCCCCGTCTGGCCCGCTCGCCGCCCTGATTAGAAAGCGCCTTGTTTTGCATGAGCTGCGGAGCGTCCCTGGCCCTGCTGGAGTCTGTCCTCTAACTCGACACCTCTGCTTCCCACGCAGCTGCTGTTTTACCTCCCGCCGCCCATGGTTTTGATGCTTTCGTTGGACGTAACGCGTTTGATGGTGGAGCTTAGTCTTGCCCCTCGCTGTGTGGATTTATGCCGGTGCCTGGATTTTTCCACTGCCCCTGGCTGTCTGGGGCTCGCTCCCACCCTGCCACTCACCACACAAACACTTCCTCTGCTAGCTCCTGGGGGGCCAGCGCTGCGAGAACAGTCCCAAGGACACAGGGAGACAGGGCCTAAGACACACAGGCTCACCCCACTCTTCGAATGCTGTGTGTTTTCCAGGCTATTTTTTCACGCTCATCATCTCATTTGATTAAAAGATAAAGCTGAAGGATGATGTAGCTTCACTCATGTTTGACAGATGGGGAGGCTGACATGCAAAGAGGTGAGAACTCTATTAGACAGTGGAGAGCTAGGGTTAGTTAATGGCAAAGTAAGAGTAGCTGTGATTTAGTAGTGATTAGCTGCACCGCGCTGAAATATGTTTTCTGTGCATCTTAACTCATTCACTTTTCATATCCATTTTCTGAAGCAGAATTATGTTACTAGTAGGTTGGCAGTGTCTCTGTCTCAAGATGAGAAGGACGGAGCATAGCAAGGTCATGTTTTATCTTAGCCAAGAATTTTCTCTTCACCCACAGTCTCTGTCAAGGGTAGCTTGGGTTCTGAGCCCTTCACACCAAAGTGCACACACGCATGCACAAAATCAACAGTTGGGATCAATTCTTCAACAGAGTCCACAGGACACACCTAGAGAAAGCTACAAAGTAGCCAAAAAGTAAAGTACAATTTCTCATCTTATCGGAAATCATTGCATAGACTTGACCTCAGGTGCACTATAATAGTTTTTAAACTTTTTTCTTCAAAAGGACAAGCAAAGGCCCTGGGGCTGCTTATAATGTACCTATTGATCTGCTGAACTTTTGATAGCAATGAGTAAAGAATTTCTTTAATTCTTCGTTTTTCCCCCTTGCAAATTCCCTCCCATCTCTATACGACCTTAACAAAGGTGTTTGTTTTTGGTTTTGTTGTCCTCGGTTTTTGGGGTTTTTTTGTTTTGTTTTGTTTTTAGCCTGTGTGATAGCAAAGCCGGCTGTCCTTTCAGAGTCAGGGAAGCAGGAGCGGTGCTCCACAGCCCCATCACTAAGTCTACATCATTCTGAGCCTCGGTGCCTGTTGGCCTGCAACAAACCCATTTCTCTTTCCTTCAAGCCCTCCAGTTTTGTTTCATCCTGGCTTAAAATTCCTGGAAGCTGAATTCAGAAGATTAGAAGAACACATCCAGTGTGTATTCTTTGCCAAGCCATTTGTTGCTCGCATTTAATAAAAAGTCTTGACTTTTTCTAAAATACTGAAGTAGTCCCCACCCCTTCGGCCGAGTCAGCCCCGCCTCCCGGACGTATGGTCCACTCACCCGCAGCCACTCCTCTCTCCAGGCAGTGGCCTCGCCAGGGTCTCAAGGGGGTCTTTGCAGTGAGAACACGTGGAGCACGAATGATCAAAATCCCTCTTGTTAGCCTCCCTTGCCCAAAGGAATCCGCTTTGCAAGATCATTTTCTCTTTCGTCAAATGCACCCACATTCACCCGCATCGGTTGTATTATCGGAAGGCGTGTAGGGCACCTTAGGGTATGCATTTCCCCCGTTTTATAAAAAAAAGCTTCTTAGCTAAAAACATACCTCACACATAAACAGACTAACAAGACATAACAGGGTGGCCAAGAACTCGGAAGGAAGGAGTATTAGCTAAGAGGAGAATGTTTTTTTCTTTTAAGTGAGATCGAAATACTGGAGAAAAAAAAAAGTAACATTCACCTACTTTCTAATTCAGTACCTAGGAAAAAATAGAACTGAACTGGCCTGGGAATAACTTATTGTTTTACCTGAGAAAAGAGACTGATCCAGTGGTGGGAAGTGAAAGCCTGTGTTTACTTTGCTCCCCTGAAAGGCAGCTGGAAAAGCAGCTCCAGCTGTCTCTGGGAGAAAGTTGTTTGGCTTTATCCTATAGGCGAGGAGCCGGAAGCGACTGCAGCTCGTGTTATACGAATGAGAGCTTGAATATGAGGTGTTTTCTTTTGTGTTTTCCAGAACCGGGAATCAAACTCAGGATCTTGCGCTTGCCAGGCAGGCGTGGCACAACTGAGCTAAATCCCAGGTCCTTGTTTTGTATTTTTAAAGCAAATGAGAGAGAAATTAACATCACTGCACAACATTTTCACATGATTCCAAATAACTTCCAGCTATTTTTAGGTCAATAAGATATTCAGAGCCTGTGCTAAAAAAGTCTTGGAAACTGAAGCAGTCCCGTGTAAGGTACACAATGAGTAACATGTGCTGTCTTCTTTAGACTTGTAGGGAAATACATATATACATTTAACGTGTGAAAAATTAACCAGAAAGATATACGGGTACCAAGTGCTGCTCACGACTCAGAAACGCAGGTGCGGATATTAACACAAAGTTCGATAACAGGTCTGTAAAATTCATCAAAAATACCTCCCAGGAGCCCAGGGAGTGCGTTCGGGGACTCTCTGAACACTGTAATCTCAAATCAGCCATCAGGACACATCCAAGCCCACCTGTTCTCTGAAACCACAGAAGTGCATTGCTAGTTTCAAGATCTCAATCTGGTATCAAGGGAGCAGTCAGTCTAGGAGCACAGAGTTGTCGTTCAGCACCCATCCGAAACTTGAACTGATACGAGCCGATCCAATTCCTTCCACTGTTTTCATGCATAAATCCATTGAATGTACTAATGTTGTCACCAGAGCGGCCCACGTCTGTCTGCTTTCTGTGAAATATAACCTGCCATTTTAGTGGCCGTCTGCCAATTGTGCCTCTGTCTGTTTTAAAGTAGTAGTTTTTTCTTTCCTAAGATTAAACGTGCTAATACTTTGGATTTCCTGCCTGTACTATCCCTCCCCCACCAAAGACAGATGCTATCTGAGTATCCTAGAGAAGCACTGGTGGTATTATGAATAATTTAAAATTCATTTATCGGGGAGCTAGGGCCCAGAGCTTTGCAGAAAGCAGGACAAAGAAGGAAAAACTAGGTAGATCTGACAGTTTGAGACAATTTCTTAAGCTCATCTGCTATACTCATCCAAGTTTGCAAAAGTCTCCTGATTTTTTGAAAGACTGATTGCCTGGTCACTTACCTTGCTAATGTACTGACCATTGGCATAATGTCCTCTCTTTTTTGTTTTTGCTTTATTTATTTATTTATTTGTTTGTTTACTGGTATCAAGGATCAAACTCATGACCTCACACTTGCCAGGCAGGCGCTGTGCCATTGAGCTAAATCCCTGGCCCTGTAATGTCCTCTTTTGCCCTGAGTTTCACCGGACTAAGGCCCCTGGTGACTGTTCATGCCAACTCAGCCTACTTCTCCTTATAAAAATTATCCCAGGATAGTTTTTTCCTCACTCTCCCTTTTCACACATCAGAAGGAAACGATCTTGCTTTGAAGGCTTGTTACCAGTATTTTTGTAAAGTTTCTCGACAGCAGAAATCTGATAGTAATATCACGAGCTGACCTCAGAAAAGCAGTGCATTTTGGAGCAGATCCAGTAAGTGGATCTGAATGATTCTTTACACTATCCTTAAGCACGGCTCGGACCAAACCTTACCTTCAGAGCAGTCACTGAGACCATAATAAAGAAGACACAGTTTCAGGTCGATCGTTGTACCCTGCCCTGGGCCCCAGCCTCTCATCCAGTTACTTGAATCACGTGGCCTATCACGTGTGCTTAAGGCATGCAACCGGAAATGCAAGCATTGCCCAGGCTTTGCCAATTACGGATTTAATGACCCAAAGGGTGGGGGAGGGTCACCTAAGGCAGGCAGAGTGAGTGCTACCCCAGCTTCAGGTTTTTGACTTACAGTTTGAAAAGGGCGGCAAAGGAAGACTCCTCCAGAAGGTGCTGGACATTACCTGTTTGTCTGTGGGTCCCGTTCGCCTTCTCCCAAGACGGGAGATGCAGGGAACACTACCAGCCCTGATTATGCCTTCACCGCCCCTTGCTCAGCGCCCCCAGTTAACCTGGCCAAGCTTCAGGGGACAGCTGGGGGCGTCACCAACCCTAGAAGCTGTGCACGGGGGCCTTGCCCAGTGAGAACAGCTGCCACATACTGATCACACCAGAGGGGTAAGGCGCCCTGTGCCCGGCAGCGGCCGCCCCGGAAGAAGCAATGCGAACATCCGCAGGTCACAGGTGGTCAAGGCCATCGGCCCTGCACCCCCTCATGCACCGGGGCTGCCATCCCCTCCAGAGTCCACCAGGACACGATTACGCCAAGAGGTCTAAACTGTACCAATTGTATTCCTTTTATGAAATCCGTGTCTCCCTCCCCTCAAACCCTCAAACAAGTTTCCACTCTTCCTATTAAAAAAGAGAGAACTGATTTCTCTTCATTTCTCTGGTCCCAAACGTCTCTGGAAAGAAACAGCTGCAATCAGCCTTTCAGGCAGTTGGAACACATTAGATGTAAAATAAACTTTCCCTCCCTCCAAACACACCTTTGTCCTTATCCTCCTATCCTTCTTTGGCTGTGGAGCCCTGTTGGCTCCGGTAAATATCACCCTCTGGTGGTCAAACAGAATCCAAACCACTTCCTGTTGCCTTTATGCAAAGCCCTGCAGGATGGAATCAATAAGGGAATCCTTTCTGCTAAGATCTGACCACACATAAATCTTTCTAAAATAATCCACCTTAGGGCCAGAGATTTAGCTCAGTGGTTCTGGTGACTGCCTCGCAAGCACAAGGACCTGAGTTCAATCCCAGGTACAAACAAAACAAAACAACCCTAAAATAATCCACCTTATATAAGAATATTCTAGCTCCATTCTTACCAGCATGTCCCCTTAATACCCCTTTATGAGTAAAATCATTTTGTAAAAATGTTTTACTTGCTCTTAAATTTTTACTTACTGTGAATTTTACTATTACCACTTCCCTGACAACACTTCCTCTTACAGGCAGCTTAAAAACATAAATATTGCCATTCAGAATGAATGGAAGTTGAGACCAAAATGTTAAGTGAAATGTCAGACACTTAAGCTTAAATATCACATGATTTCTCTTAAATGAGAAACCCAAAGTATAAATAACTGGGCAGGGATTTAGCTCCGTAGTTCTGGTGCCTGTCTCAAACTCAAGGACCCAAGTTCAATCCCCAGTACCAAAAAAAAAAAAAAAAAAAGTATAAATAATTTAAAGAGCAAAATCCATGATTGATAACAGCAAAAATGCTGGGTGTGGTGGTACACACCTGTGATCTCAGCACTCTGGAAGCCGAGGCAGGAGAATTGCCACGAGTTCAAGGCCAGCCTGGGCTATGTAGTGAGTTTAAGTACAGCCTGAACTGCACGGCAAGACCCTGTTTCTTAAAAAGTCAAAATTAACAGAAGTAATAATTAATAATAATATCAGGAAACAAGGAGATAGGTCTTTTGCAAATGAGAAGACAACCAAGTGATGGAGGAGGGAGAGGAGAGTGAAAAGGGAAGGAAAAAGTAATCCAACTACCAGGATTACTGTACTGAAAACATGTACTAATACTTTTTTTAAATAAAAAATATTGCAAGATTTTTTTTTTAATGCCACTCAGTATTAGTCATTGGGCAATACCAGTATCTTGTTCTGAGAATTCAAACTAATGCTCATACACCTCAGTCTCTCAAAATAAAATAAATAGGCAATAGACTATAAACCAGGTTTTAAATTTAGAAAAATTTTACATTAAACGTAGGAGGGCTAAGAAAGTAGCTGAGTGATAGGGCGCTTGCCTAGCATGGGCAAGGGCCCTAGGTTTGCTCCCCAGCACCCCCCAAAAAAACAAATAAAAACTAAAAGTGGGTACAGGTTCACAGACTTGCTCAGACTGGCTGGTGACAGCATCACAATACATCCTTTGAGGATTTTCCCTAACCTGGTACTTGAGCACCACAGACCCTAGAGGTCATGGGGTTCTGCCCCCTTCTGCAGCAAAAAGGCCCTGAAGAAAGAGGGTGCTTTACAAACTGCAGTGAGGAGCCCAAGGCAGCTGACAGAAGCCAGGGCCCCTCATCTGGCCTGGCCCTCAGTGCCAAGGAGCATACAGCCTGTGGGGTAGACATGCTCTGAGGGCTTCCTCCGGAGCCACTGTGCACGGGAGGCCGAGCTGGCAGGTGCTGTCTCCTGGGCTCTCCCGCCCTCACCTAAGGGCCAGGACAGCTGGAAGCCACTGCAACTCACCCTGCTGACCTTGCCCACAACTAGGAAGAAAAGCAGTTACCCCAGTAATTGCCCTTATAGTTCTGTTAGGATTTTTATGGGACGTTACTCTCTTAAACTTTGTGCTCCCTCTTTAGTATTTTTGGCTGTACTTTGCACACCGAAGTCAGACAATTGATCTTTATTAACAGCCCGAGGACGGCTTAACTTGCTGAGTCAGTTAGATTGATTCAATAATCTTCAAACAAGGGAGATTTTGAAATTCTGAGGAAGGCGGCAGGGTAGCACAGATCCTTTTCGTGAAGGGGCAATTCGGTCAATGAAATGGATCTCAGACTCAGCTGTCTCAGTCACTTCCCTCATCCCGAGACACACTGGCCAACAGTGCAACTTAAAAGAGGAGAGGTTTCTTTTGGCTCATGTTTCAGTCCGTAGTTCTGCCTCCAAGGCAACTCTTCCCGGCTGAGGGGAAGCTAATAGCATGGCAGACAGCAAGCAGCGAGGATGAAAGGAGGAACAGGAAGGGACTTTTACCCTTCCGGGTCACACCCACTGATCCGCTCTTCCACGAAGGCCCCACTTCCTGTCATTTTGCCATAAGCCTCCCTCATCCAACCACCTTTCAAAAGCCCTGTGTGAGGCTTTGGGGGACATCTAAACGTAAACATATCATACGGGGAACGTCAGAGATGAGAGGGCTGTCTCCAAGGGCTCCTAGTTCCTGTGGGCCACCCTTCACACCAGCCCCTTGTGCTCCTGTGACCCAAGCCAAGGGGGCAGCAGGACCCATGGTGCTCATTCTGGGAAGAGCAAGAACACCTAGGGAATAGCAGTGGATGGACGGACTTGCGCGCGTGTGCACACACACACACACACACACACACACACGGGGCTGGTATGTCTACAGCTATCCCTTCACACCCACCCCATGGAATTCCAGATACAGTGATTCACGCATTTCAAGGTAAATTTCATCAGTGAACCAGGGTACCCCAATGAGGGCTAACACAGATTTGGGCTACTTAGTTCGTTTACTGGGAACATAATATTAAAAAAGCCACACTCAGACTTGACCCCCACTACAATGATCAATTCCACTATTTTACCTTTTCACCAATAACAACAAGACCATCCTGAGTGCCTGCATTACTCCACTACATATAAAAGGCACAAATAATACAAAGATAAAAATACAGTTCAGCTGGGCCTGAAGGCACATACATGTGATTCCAGCACTTGGAAGGCTGAGGCAGGACCATCTGAAATTCGAGCCAGCCTAGACAACATATGGAGTTCAAGCCCAGCCTGGGCCTCATAGAGGGTCCCCATTTCAAAACCTGAAAATAAGAATTTCAAGAAAATCCCAAGACTGACTATATGTGATAGGCTACAGCGGGCCAGCCCTAACCCTGAATCCAAAACCTTTCTAATGGATGTGGTTGACCATTGGAAAGCTGAAAATCTGCCTCCGGCTTAGCAGAAGACTGAGGTGAGCACCCCAGGGACAGCGATTCCCATTCTATACTCTGCATGCACAGGTGGTTCTGGCCAGCCTGCCACTGCCACCTGAGACAGCGCAGCTGCCGTTTCTCAAGCTTTCCTGTGTATCAGAACTATCCAGAGGAGCTAAGAACACTGGAGCAGGTCAGGCAAGGACCAGGACTTGGTACAGACATCGAGTTCCCCAAGTGACTCCCACCCAGGTCACCAAAACTGGACGGCCGCCAGAGCAGATGAGCAGCCTCTTCCACGAAGGGAGAGAATCTCACACCGTAGCCTGCATGGTTCTCTGTGGAGGACAAAGAGCACCAAGGCCCGGTGTCTCTCTGAACTCCCAGGACTGTGCACCGGGCTCAGAGCCTTCCGTTCCGGGCAGGGAAAGTTCCGCTGCAGAAAGTAACCCGGCCAGACACTGAACGCACTGTGCGCTCACTCTGAATTTCCTACAAACACAATCCCCTCTTCCTTGAACGGACCCAGCAAAGTTTTCACCGAGATCCCAAAGAGCTCCATTTCAAACTCGGAGTAGATAATGAATACTTCCCTATTTTTTTTACAGCTAAAAGACACAGCATGCACAGGGCCTGGGTCTAATTCCCACCCAGAAGAATAAACAAAAGCCAAAAGCTACACCATAAGCCTGAATCTTTAAGAAGTGCTACACTCAAGGAGAAAAATCTCCTTAATTCTGGGAAATATTTCATTGATAAAATTTTTTCTCCTATTCCTCTTCCACTTCCCTTTAACCGTAAGGGACGTCTACCCACAACTCCTGCCTAATGTTCCAAATCGTTTCCCTACACACTCTTCTCTCTTTATGAAAAATGTGCCATTCAAAAAAAAAAAATAATGTCTTAACAGAGGATTTGTTTTTAAGGACGACCTGAGTTCTAAGCAAGTCCCGTCCTTGGTAATGGTTCTCATCTTCTCGGAGGAGTCTTCCATGAGTGAAGGGGGAAGAAACTAAGTCACCTCCTAGTCTAGGGGGTGACAGGCCTGGGTCAGAGTCAGGAGGGGGCTGGGGAACCCATGGGAGCCGCGTGGCTGGGAATGATAGCATTTTGCCATGTCTAGCCTTGTATTTCTTTCTGCTACACTGGTGTTTTTTTCTCCTCAGCTGAAGACTTGAATAAATATTTTGATTTTCTGTTATTGCCGACGATTACTGCATCTTCTTATTTAACTTATGTCTTCTTTCCAAGCGAGAATATCCAGGTTTCGGTTGGATCTATTTTAAGGTGAATTGATTAACCAGCATAATAATACATTCGTATGTTCCTTTTTTCGTTATATTTTTTACTCTAAAATAGTTACAGAGCATGCGCAGTAGAATCCCTGGCAAACCACGCTGTCTTTGGGTCTGTCTGTCTGTCTCCTTCCTCCCTGATAGGGGAACCTGCCCCCAGACTACAGAATCAGCCTGATCGACATCGGCCTGGTGATCGAGTACCTGATGGGCGGCGCCTACCGCTGCAACTACACCCGCAAGCGCTTCCGGACCCTGTACCACAACCTCTTTGGCCCCAAGCGGGTGAGTGGGGAGGACCAGCGGGCGGGGCTTGGCTTATGGCGCCTTTGTCTCCTAGGGAGACCAGCTGAGGCGGTAACCGCCCCTTTTCTTCTCCCCTCTTCGGTCCAATGCATCCATCTTCATTTTTTCTTTCTTTTTTGTTGGTTTGTCTGTGAGACAATGATTCCAGGAGGAAATTGGTATGTACCCATACCGCAATGTCGTCAGGCCCTCGAGGCCCTCTCCCCACCTTTTCTAAAGGAAATTTAAAAGTTGGCGATAATACTATCAGGCGTTTTCCTTGAAATGACAGCCCAACTTTGCGGGTGTTATAAAACTGTCTGCCTGGCGTCCAAGTCTGAACAGCCACAGTCTGTCTGCCAGGCATTCTTTCAAGGAAAAAAAAAAAAAGTGGTGTTCCGAGAAACAAGGCAGCTGGAACGCAGCCCAAAGACTCTCCTAAGACAGGACAGCCATCGTAGGTCAGGAGCAGCACGGAGCTTCACGGGGTGCTTCCCCTTTCATCCCAAGGAACAGTAGTAGGACACCACTTTCAGATTAACAAAGGGAACTCTAGGCTTCCGGGCCACCATATGTGAAACTCGTGGCTTTTTTTTGGTCTGTGTGGAGTCTAATGAAAACAGTAAGCTTTGGTACTATTGCCTTTACTTTTGCTAAGGACCTTGCAGTTTTGACTTCCCATTGCTTTGTGCCATCTGTGCCAGTGTGAGCAGGTTCAAAACACTAACAGGTCCTGCATGGTGAAGAGGGCCTGAAATCCTGTAATCCCAGCTACTCGTGAGTCTGAGGCAGGAAAACTGCTAATCCAAGGCCAACCTGGCGACATATAAGACCCTCTCCCAAAATTTAAAATAAACAATACTGGGGATGTAGCTCAGTGGCAGGGGTGGTAATGTCTTAGTATCGCTATGAACATACCTTGAACTTCACACACCTCAGAAAGGGTGGATGCCAGGGGCACCCACAACAAATCCATGGACAACGTTTTGAGAATTTTATTTTTTCCTAGCTGGTAGTGGGCATTTTACTTTCTTTTTACAATTTTGTTATTGTCTTAAATGTTTTTGTCTTATTTTATGCTTTTTAAATTGACCGGGTTGATTTTTATGTTTCATATAACTTCTTCGGATTAGGAAAATATTTTGTAGGGCTGGTAGAGAACTTTGAAAACACCAAAAAAAAAGTGTAAATGGGGGAGGGGAACCCACAAATTTTAGACTGGTGGTCATTTTAGAAACTGCAAGAAAAAGAAAGAGAGAGAGCCAAGCGGAAGCTAATCCAGCCTGAATAGCCACATAGGATCAGGAGGAGCTGTAAGGCCTTAACCTTGTGACTCACTCAGACGGCACCAAGATGGTGGCACCAAGATGGCGCCCACCGCTCTGTGCCACTCAGCAGCACAGAATCCACAAACGCAATTTGGTATCTCCCCGTTACATATCACCCAGTTCTGTAATGTGCCGAGTCGCCTTCTCTATCTCCCTCAGCCTCTGCCTGTTTCACACATTCCCGGCACAGCCAGGGACGCCACCCTGTGTGCTGATGCCTTCCAAGCCCCTGAGCACCTTTCTCCATCAGCGCTGCCCGGGAGGGAGCCGGGGTTGGGGGGCCTCGCCCTTGCTCTGCTGGGTGGGAGCACAGGCTATGGCCAGCAGGAGGCGTCTGCGATACTCCGCTGAGTGATAGCCCCAGCGCTCCAGAGGCTTGAGAAATACTTCATTTGATATGTTTGGTCGAACATTCCATAGCTCGTCTGTCTTATCCTATTCCTGCTGCTATAACAAAACACCACATGGAGCTGGGCATGGTGGCGCATGCTTGTATTCCCAGAATTTGGGAGGCTGAGGCGGAAGGATCACCTTAAGGTTGAGGCCACCACTGTGGGCTGAACTACCCAGTGAGATGCTGTCTCAATAAAAACGGGGGGGGGCATTCTGTGGCTTATAAACAACACAAACCTATTTCTCACAATTCTGGAAGCTGAAAAGTCCAGGAACAAGGCACCAACAAATTGAATATCCAGTAACGGCCCATTTCTTAGTTCATATACCTCCCCACCTTCTGGCTCTGTCCTCACAAGGTAGAAAGAACAAACAAGTTCCCTTGGCCTTCTTAGTTTTGTTTCTGGGGGTGGTGTTTGGTTTTGGTGGGGTTTTATTTGGAGAGAGTTGGGAGACAGGTTGACCCAGGGTCTCACTAAGTTGCTCAGGCTGGCCTTGAACTTGGGATCCTCCTGCCTCAGCCTCCTGGGTGCCTGGGTTACTGGCATGGCCTGTGTTATGAAAGCACTAATCTCATTCAGGAGGGCTCTTCTCGCTTGACCCAACCCAAGCCAATAGCATGCACAGCCACAGGGGCTAGGATTTTATTTTGGTTATTTTGGGACAGGAAGACCTCACTATGAATTCCAGGCTGGCCCTGAAATAACTATGTAACCCAGGCTGGCCTAGAACTCTCCGCCATCCTCCTACCTCAGCGTCTAGAGTGTTGAGATTATAGACTATACCTAGCAGACGTTAGGATTTTAATGTACAAATTTGGGGAAAAAACTCTCAGATCATTGCACTCATTCAAATACTGGATGTCATGAAGGGCTCAGCCAAGCAGGACAGTTATGCAAAGGTGAGGGAAATCTAGTCAACAAGACACTATAAACCTTAATGTCTACCCTGAAGCAATCTCATTGTCTCTTTCCAGTTTCCCAATTTTTTTCTGATATGATTCACCAAAATCATGAGATTCCTAATTCTCTTAGAATTTCTAGAAGTAAATTCTCCTTGTCATGTTGTATTCAGTGAAATAAAATAAATGCTATCTGGTACAATGGTTCTTATACTGCTTGTTCAAGATATAGTAGGATTCTTTTCTTACCTTCATGACAGAAAGATCTAACTTTGTTCACAACATTTTTTTTAACAGCCCAAAGCCTTGAAACTTCTGGGAATGGAGGTAATTGTTTGCTCAAGTTATTAATGTCAATTATTCTCTTTATTACACATTTGAAAGATATATGAGCCCATTTCAGTGGTAAAATGTAGTACGTGATTCTAAGATAAGGAAATAAATATTTTCCAAGTGTCGTGAGGACAGCTCACAATAGCTTTGAAAAATCCACCATGAGGTTTTGTAATAGCATTGTGAGCAAAATAAATAAATCTTATTTGAAGTACTAACTTGAAAACTAAGGAAGAATATAAATACCAGTAAGCAAACTTCATGCATGGGTGTTTACAAATGAGTAAAGCAAAAGAGAAAAGGGCCCATTAAAAGATATTTTAAATGGAAGAAAACCGATGTGTCCCCATTGGACTATACTTACACATTTACTATAATCTACTTTAAAATTAGCCATGGACAAGCTTGTGAGTTCTTTTAGGATAGAAGCTGGCCTGGTTCATTTCAGGGTTGATCCCAAAGTTGAACCAGTGGAAGATACACAATAGGTATGTTGTGAATTGACCTGATTCGTTGCCAACTCAGCCTGTATGTGTTTCTCTACAACCACAGGATGACATTCCCTTGAGGCGAGGAAGAAAGACCACCAAGAAGCGTGAAGAAGAGGTGGACATCGACTTGGATGACCCCGAGATCAACCATTTTCCGTTCCCCTTCCACGAGCTGATGGTGTGGGCCGTCCTCATGAAGAGGCAGAAGATGGCGCTGTTCTTCTGGCAACATGGCGAGGAGGCCATGGCCAAGGCCTTGGTGGCATGCAAGCTCTGCAAAGCTATGGCTCACGAGGCCTCAGAGAATGACATGGTCGATGACATCTCCCAGGAGCTGAACCACAACTCTAGGTTGGCTGCAGCCACGCACGTGGTGGTGGGGGGGGCTGTTGTCAAGGGGAGCTAAGGGAGGGCGGGTTCCATACACTGAAACAAAACTTTAATGGGAGGGTTCTGCACAGTGGCACATTCCTGTAGTCCTGGCTGCTAGGGAGCCTGAAGCAAGACGATCACAAGTTCAAGGCCATCCTGAGCAAAATAAAAAGACCCCATCCCAAAATACAAAGAGCTGGGGATGTAGCTCAGTGGTAGAGCACCTCTGGGTCCAGTCCCCCAGTGTCACAAAAAGGGAGGGTCAGTGTCACCCCATGGCACACACTGGGTGGGCATGAATGCTTCACCATTGCTATGTATGGTGCTGCATTTGGCGGTGCCCACAGATACACACATGATTTCATGGCATCCTCCCAAATCCCCTAAGAGCTAGGTCCTATTTTCCTGAGGACTTCCTTCAGCTGAGGACAGTGAGGCTCAGAGAATTTAGGTGACTTGCCCATTAGTCACACATTTGTGCTTGGCAAGGCTGGGGTTTAGACTGGAGGTCTGTACATTGAGGAAGGCACGCTCCAGCCATGGACCAATGGGCTTACCTCCACCTCCGTACACCTTACATCTGGGACCTCGAGTGTCGGGATCGTGCCTAGCTTGACTCACATCTTCAGTTCCAAACATGCTATTCAATGCACAGTGGAGGCATAGCGGATGTCGGCTGGATGAATCTGTGACTACACAGGACCTCACGGGAAGCACCACCCCGCACGGCAGCCGTCTTTTGTGGTTAGCCAGTGGGTCCCCGCTTTCGTCGTATTAGTCTCCCAGCTAGCTTGACGGGCTCCTCTGCATCTTCTTTTTCAGGGACTTTGGCCAGCTGGCCGTGGAGCTCTTGGACCAATCCTACAAGCAGGATGAGCAGCTGGCCATGAAACTGCTGACGTACGAGCTGAAGAACTGGAGCAATGCCACGTGCCTGCAGCTGGCTGTGGCTGCCAAGCACCGCGACTTCATCGCACACACATGCAGCCAGATGCTGCTCACCGATATGTGGATGGGTCGGCTCCGCATGCGCAAGAACTCGGGCCTCAAGGTCAGTGCACCAGGGAAGGCCCCTTTGGCTCAGAGGATGAGCGGGGTGGTTGACGTCTTCCCAGCCAAACCTGCGGTGGGATTGCATAGTCTCCTGTAACACGGACTGCTCACCAAGATCTCCTGTGTAGGGTTTTGATTTTCATGTACAGACTAGAGCTTCTCTGAGTCCTGCTGGATCAGGACGCTAAGGATGGCTCCTAGACATTAGCATCTGTCACACAGAAGTGATAGTCACACGGGTCCCCAAAGAGATGTCGTGTGCTCTGATATAAACTGTGGGTCACCAGCAGCCTCCCCTAGGTGACCCTTCCCAGCCAGGGGAGCCTGACCCGCTGGCTGTCCTCCACCCCCATCTCAGAGATAATGGCTTTGTGTGCTTGAGGAAAAAACATCAGTGAACTACAAGCCAGACTGACGCATCTGTTGAGGTATCGCTCCATAATCCTGGTGAACTTTTCTCCAGGGATGCTGGGGAATCAAAGTTACGGCCATGTGCAGGCCACTGAGTCAAATCCTCAGCCACTGATCTATTCTCTTCTTTTTCCTTTTCTTTGTCGTGTGTGTGTGTGTGTGTGTGTGTGTGTGTGTGTGTGACGGTTCCTGGAGATTGTACCCAGGGCCTTCACACTTAGGTACAACCCTCAACCCTTTTTAAACAAGGCCACACTAAGTCCCTAACTCTCTCAGGCTGGACTCAAACTTGCAATCTTCCTGCCTTAGCCTCAAAGAGTGCCAGGATTATAGGAATCTGGCACCATACCCAGCTTGATGTACTCTTAAAAAAAAGAAACATGAATCAGAGACCATTTAACCTGTTTAACATGAGTCCGTTTTTTAAAGGTTGTATGTGTAGAGTTCTATGTATATAGGTTAACATTTTAAAACACAGTAGTGAAGCCAGACCTAGTGGCACACACCTATAATCTCACACACCTGTAATCCTATACACCTATAATCTGAGAGGTGAGGTAAGAAGATTGCAAATTCAAGCCTGGCCTGGACAGTTCAGTTCAATCCCTAGTGCAAAAATCACAACAACAACAACAACAAAGAATGCATAGCATACCATTTGTATTGGACCAGTGGTTGAACGGACCATGGCAGAGACTTTATTATTTTTAACAGAAGTAGAAACTTATGTAGCTTTTGCTTTTGTTTGCTTGTGATGCTGGGAATTGAAGCCATGGTCTCATGTGTTAGGCAAGCATTCTGATGGTGCGACACCCCCATTCCTGCTTTTACCTTCTTTATTACTTTTTTTGGTGATTTTTTTCAAAAAACTATTAATTTGAAAAGTAAAAGAAAAAAAAGAGAAGTCAGAAGAGCAAAAGAATGTGGGATATTTTTTCAGTTTGTTTTTGCTTTAATTTTTGTGATGCCAGTTTCTCTTTAATTATATATTTTTAGGCTGTATTCTTTACACGTTCTGGTATTTTTGATGTACATATTGAAATGGTTACTAGAGTCGAGTAAATTATGATAGCCCTCGCCATGCATGGCCACTTTTCACTGGAGGTGGTAAGAGCACCTAAATGTCTCCTAGCAAACCCTAGTGTGCAATACGCTATCAGAACGGCGGTCCCCATGCTGCACATCATACTGTCGACCTATTCATCCTTCCTCCTCGTCTGCTGCTCTGTACCCTCTGTCCGCATTCTATGGGACCAGCACCCTATCTCCCACTCCACCTTCCCTGTGGGCATTTTTTTTTAAATAGAAGCATGGTAAAAGTTTTATTTTTTTACATATGTCCACAAATGTTTGTACAAGAGAGAAACAGTGACTACTTCTAAATTTTACTGAATTTTTTTCATAGCACAGAGAGACAGAAAAGTTAATGACATGCTTAAATATGTTACAGTGACTTGGGGTGAAGCCCTAAAGATAACATGGGGTTGCGGGTGGCACACATAGGTCCCCAGCAGCACCTACAAGGTCTGGGTGAAAACACCTGCACAGGGACCGGGGACCTGCAGAGGTCGCCAGCACAGCCACCACAGGTCACAGAAGGCCTCTGTGAAAGGAGCCACTGTGAACATTTCATAGCCATACTGCCAGTGACCACAAAGTCTGGCCTCAGGCAAGAAGCCAGCCTAGCAAATGTCTGAGCCTCCCAGAGCTGCCAGGACCCCACAGGCCAGGGTCACCACGCTCCCTCTTCCTCCAATGGCTCTCAGTCCTGGCATCCCTTCCTTGTGACTTCAGCAATATTTTTCCTGACCTTCAGGATCTCTCTAAACCCCTCACTTGGAGCAGTTTCTTCAGGAGGGTTATTTTCAGATACTTGGTGTCCCAGGACCATGTCAGGATTGAGAGAAGTGGGAGAAAATGTGGGGACCAAAAGTCCAATGTCAGTATCATTCAAGATGGCACCTGTTTGTTCCCTGGTGGTGGAGAATGAGATTCCTCCTGGGAGAACCCTGCATAACAGGCACCCTCACATACGGATGTATGTCACTGTTTTTCCATGGGAGAAGTAGGGTGCTGGTCCTTGTCATAGCACTTATGCAAGAGGACATGACAAGCTTCTTGGTGTGTGTGTTTCTGTTGTGTAGTAGCGAATGCCACCAGAAGGCTCTACAATGAATGGAAATACTTTGCTACATATGCTTCTCAAAGTCATCTTAGAACTGTAATTGTTTAGAGAGACAACCAGATAATATAGAATCAACGCCACTTGACATATTAGCAAATAATGCTAAAGAACATGTATAAGAATTGATTTCAGGAAGCCGAGTGCTGTCTGATGACTAAATCTTAATTCTGTCCCAGTTTTGTGTTGGAAGTTCTCTTTCTCCTCAGCTTCCCCATGAACCTGAGTGCTAATAGGACAAGGTATATTTGGGCAGAATGCTTTGTTTCTCCAAAAGTTAGACTGAGCTACTATTCAAAACTAATTCCCAGATGGGACAGTGAGCTTTTCACATCAATGCATTTAGATATTCCTTAGCCTGGGTCTCCACACAAGCCATAGAATCCTTTGTATGTATATGCGCACGCACACACGCACGCACACACACACTCACTCCACACCCCAGGCCCTCTGAGTCTAAGAAACCACCTTAATCGTAATCCTTTAAATGTGATGATTATTATTATCATTATTATTACTTTAGGTAATTCTGGGAATTCTACTTCCTCCTTCAATTCTCAGCTTGGAGTTCAAGAACAAAGACGACATGCCCTATATGACTCAGGCCCAAGAAATCCATCTGCAAGAGAAGGAGCCAGAAGAACCAGAGAAGCCCACCAAGGAGAAAGAGGAAGAGGACATGGAACTGACGGTAAGACCCAGCTATGCACCCTTGTCCCTAGAAAGAATCCCTGACCCATTCATCCCCTTGATATGGCGAAGGGTTCAATAACTGCAGATCACACAGCTGACCCTGGACTCCCATCAGGTTTAGTCCTGGGCACGTTAAGTACTGAGACCAGGGAATTACAAATGTGTCCTCTTTGTGTACAATAACATGACTACTGGATCCAATGTTATGTAAAGCCCTTTGGCAGCTAGTGGCACAGGGAAAAAATAATAAAGTTCGAGGTAGAACACCCCAAATTTTCCAGGCAAGCAAAGTTTTATAAACAACCAGATACTGTGGTAATTTCAGTACACAAAAAAGGAAGGGAGCCCATGCTTTGGAAGCAGCCGGCTTCCCTGAGCTGCAGCATTCTACTGATCAGAAGCTAAGCCTGTGTCTTTGGGGTGAGGCTCACAAATACAGCACTAATTGAATTGTGAGGTTTGTATGGAAAGCTTTTATTAGCTCATCCTGGTACAATTATAGAACATGGGTGCTTTGTTCTGCACAAGAAATGGGGCAGCTGCTTGTGGGACAGCTTCCCACCACCCCCGCCTAAGCCCCGTGAATGTCACTGGCTTATATCCAAGGACTAAAAGTGCCCCATGTTATTAAGGGACAAACAAGGCTTCGTGGCTTAGAAGATATTGAGCAGAAGCTCCGTAAGGACTTACTTGATATGCCTCACCCGCCCCCACCACCCTAGCCAGTGGCTGATGCTGTCATGATCCAGAAGGAACTGTAAGAGGGGACCACAAAAATTGGTTTTGCTCAGGTGACAAAAGGCATTTTGCATTATTATCCTAGTGGGACCAGTGTGAGAATTGTTCTTTCTCCAGATAAGCAATTTCCTTCCAGTAGTCCCCTGATCTGTTTGCAGACACATTGCCAGACTGATGAAGAGCCAACTTCTGTTTCTGTTTCAGGACCCTTATAAAATCTGCTGAGCAGTTCTGTCACTCTGCAGTAGCATCAGGGACTGTCTTCCCCAAACATCTTTCTGAGCTGGTTGTGGTGGGACATACCGATAACCCCAGAGCTCTGGAGACTGAGGCAGGAGGACCACAAATCTGAGCCCAACCCAGTTGCAACTTAGTGAGACTATGTCTCAAAACAAAATATAAAAAGAGGATTGGGGACTGCAGCTTTGTGCGAAGGCCCTGCGTTCAGTGGACAATGCCACAAACAAAAATCTTGGATTCTACTTCCCTTTACAGATAGAAAATGATATTTTGGGCCTTGGGAGAAACAGGAGTTGTATGAATATGGAATCCTTAGTATATAGCAGAGGGGTAAAGAATATGTGATCTGGAGTCAGAACCCTGCCCCCTCTCCTGTGACTTCCTGTGTGACTTCCAGTATGACTTTGGGCGTGGTTCCAGAGCCTCTAGCATGGGAATAACAACTCTGCCTGCCTGGCAGGCAGTTGTGCGGATGAAGAGATATACACATAAACTGCCTAACAACTGTAAACATCAATAAATGTTGATGTAGTATTTTAACAGTGAAAACACTGTTCATATACTTAGCCACTGAATCCTCACATCACATCCATGAAGCAGGTATTATTATTAACCCCATTTTATAGGAGAGAAAGGTGGGACTCAGAGAGAGTAAGTGGTTCACCTTTGCCCAGCTAATGAATTGCAAAGCTGAGACTCAAACCCAAGCAATCAGACCCCATCAGCTATTCTTTTAGCCAAAAGTTAAGAGAGAATTTCTTCCTCGTCTCAAGTGTAGGTGGTCAGCTGGTGTGGTTCCCGGGATAGTAGGGAGAAATGAAAAGCAATGCCCAGACCCTCTGAGTCCTGGGTGGCATGACCCAACACAGCCACTTGTCCTAGGAAGACAGTGAGGAGCTGAATCAGCATTTTCTCTGCATGGATCTCAAGGAGGAAAACAAAGGGAGGCGCTTCCCCTGATCTGTCCAAAGTTTGAGGACCTGATCTTTCAAGAAGCTGCAAGTCTGTGGACCGAGAGCAAAGTCTGCTTGCTAGAGTACAGACCCAAGCACTGTTCCTGAGAACCTGAATAGGAGAGACTGTGATCCCTGAGCTTACTGTCCCCAAGCAGAAAGGGCAGGGAGGAAACTTGTGGGCTGGCAGGCTTAGGCTGGGACAGCAGCTGTCTGTAAAGCGGAGCTCTCTTTGACCTTGAGCGCAAATCCTACCGCTGCCCCGAGCTCTGGTAAGGAGGCTCATCATCAACAGGATTGGAGAGCGTAGCTTTCAGAGGACTGATATTTGAGCTTCTGTGTTAAACCAGTTTATCTTCTCTTGGAGTGGGACATCCTTTGGCCCTTCCCAACTACACAGACATACCAACCTCAGTGTGCTCCATTTTCAGGACCTGTAATGACTTTAGTTCATCTCAAAGGATCCTTCTCTGCTTTGACACCTGTGTCTACCGAACACCGATTCTCAAATCCATACTGCACGATCTTTTTGTGTTTGACCCTGTTACATTCTGCTTTGAGGAATGTCAAAGGAAATGTATGACTATAGAGAAAAGAAATCAATAAAATCAGCAAAGTAAGGTGCTTAGGTGGGAATAACGAAGTGACAAAAATGCTTTATTTAAATGCACCAAAGACAATACATTGGCTCTGGAATAATTTGAATAATAAAGGCAAAATAGGTTGTTATGTTTTTGTTTGTGCTTTGCCTGCATGGCAAGGTAAATGCTTAATAAGGTCCAACATGTCCTGAGCCCCAGCGATAGATCTGAGAAAGTCACTATTCCCTAGAGGTCACCCCAAGATGCCCCTCTGTGAGATGCTCAGAATCTGCCTTTACTTCCATCTCATTGTGGTCCTAAATGGCACTGCATTGTCAAGTACAGAAATAAGTGGAACAGAAGCAGAGTAATCCCCACAATCCCAGCATCCGAGAGGCTGAGACAGAACAACTGTGAATTCAAGGTTAGCATGGGCTACAGACCAAGTTCAAGTCAAATCAAGCTGGGACAGTGTGGTGAGCACATATCTCAAAAAAAAAAAAAAAAAAAAGGAAGGAAGGGGAAAGAAAAGCTCAGTGGCACTACTGCCTGCCTTGCAAGCACAAGGTCCTGAGTTTGATCCCCAGAACCGCCAGAAAAAAGCAGCAGTAGGATAATTATAGCACATAAATTTTAAATTATAGGACAAACACTGCAGCAGGTACCTTTGGAGTTTCTTGGGATCAATGCAAGGATCTAAAAGTCTACTGGGCCTAGTGTGCTGTATCCTCCACAAAGACTGACTCAGCTTGCTGGTGAAAATAAACAATTAAACCTTGGAACAAAATCATTTCTATTCATTAACTCAAGGTACTTTTCTAGCCAGAGAGTCCACAACAGAATAGACGTTACCTTCTCCAGAAAGCCTATTGATTAGAGAGAAATCATTTGTGATTTTCACATATTTCAGTGAAATCATTATTTAAAGCAATGATCAAAGTAGTTGAAACTAGTACCAGTATATTTTAGACAGGGTGGTTTGAAATTAGCGGTTATCTCTGTTATCAGTTTTGTTTTGTTTTTTTATTTATTTTTTATCAGGGATGGAACTCAGGACCTTGCACTTGCAAGGCAGGCAGCCATACCACTGAGCTAAATCCCCAGACTCTCTGTTATCAATTGTAAGACAAATTTAAATTACTGCTATAATTAGATCTCTCAACTTTAAACTCATGTGCTCAACAGGGCAATGTCTTCGCCTAGGTATGTTCCAGTCCTGATCAGTACTGACATCTTGCCTTGTCCCACATTTAATAAAAATCTCATTTCCCAAGACTGAAGAAATGACTTTGTCTTAGGACAGTATTAAAGAACTAAATCCAAGAAGTTATGCTGTGATAGTCTCTTTTTTGCCCAGTTTCTGTTTATTATAGGAAAAACCTGCAAATTAAAATCACCCAAGGGAAGGAGCACACAGGTTTAAGTCCAGAACGTTTCCAAATACATCATGTCTGGGGTCCGCTCGCTCTGGAGCCAGGACTCATTACCCTTCGGTGTATGAAGCTCACACAAAGTCTCGCCAACCACAGAAGCATGCCTGCCTCACGCCTGAAGTTTTTATTGGGGCTCCACTGCATAAGTATGACTGACTTATTGCCTGGGTAGTAACCCAGCTGCCAGGTGACCTGAAGCCCCCCTCTGAATCATGCAGTTGTTTTTAACGGCAGGGCTGGCCCCAGCCTCAGACCTCCTGTGGCTGGCTCTCACCCTAAACAAAATAACAGTTATTGAGTATGACATGCGTTACCTTCCAGGGGCTAAGGGCCAAGGCCAGATCTGTCTTTGGGCAAAGTCAAGGTCAATTTTGCTTTAGTGGGGAGCTAGTTGGGATTGAAGCCAGGGCCTTCGCACTGAGGTACATCCGAGAGATCCCCCACTGGATTCTTTCACTCAGTACTACTATCCAGGAAGGTCCCCGTGTACTTTGAAGATGAACTGATGGTTATTGAGTGGTTACTAAGGCAAGATGCTAAATGATTTGTAGACCAACCCAGTAGCAGTGGCTCTTACTATCCTTACTTTACAGTTAAAGAAAATAAGCCTCTGAGTGATTAAAACAACTTGCCCAAGGTGCCAGATTCTAAGCATCCAAGCCAGGACTCGGTCTCCCATCGGAGTGACCCAAAGCCTCAAACACTTCATCATTGAGCTATTCAGCCATTTGGGGGCACCCTGATGCTGGCTAACCAGACAGGCACATGTGTACCTTTCTCAGTTTCTGCCTTCCTTGGGACATTAAATCCTTGTCGTTGACACTACTGCTGCTAAGAGGATGAGGGGCTAATCCATTCTTGAGGACATCTTCAACAGCGTGGAGATGGGGGCCTCTCCTGGTCAGGCCCACCAGCTACACAGGAAGGCACTGTGCCTGGGAGCTGCCCTACAGCTGGCGCCAACAGTAATGCCAGTTTTACAAGGTTTGAAACCAGGGAGGTCAGACACGTGCCAAAGCATTGAAATGTTCCGAACCCAAGCTCTAGATACTGCCTATAACTTGCCTCTTGAATACTCATGACCTCTGAAAAATGAGGGACTCTGAGCCACCCTACTCTTGATAGGAGAGCGAATTTGACTTGGGAGACAGAATTAGAACGGTCAGCTAGCCTGTCCCAAAATGTACACAGGAAAGCAGGCAGACAGACTCCTGTAGCACGGCCTTCCCAGGCTCTGTTCTCCCTCTCAGAATTCTGTGCGTCTGCTCTCACCCACTTCTTCCAGGGGGCCAGGGTGGAAGAAAAGAACATGGTTGTGAAATTTCCCTGTGGGCTTCCATCCAGGCAAAGGAAATGCGTGGCTTATGTGTCTGATGAGTCACACACTAAGGGAAGGCACGGCCTCTCCTTGTCTGTGGGCCTTGAGTTCTTTGAGGGTGCAGGAGCTCGGGTTTAGTGAGCATCTGTTCCTCCCGTCCAAATGGGCACACTTTGCAGAGCGGGCTGTGATGGTTGCCGCTTCTCTCCCACCGTAGGCCATGCTGGGACGGAACAGCGGGGAGTCTTCCAGGAAGAAGGACGAGGAGGAAGTTCAGAGCAGGCACCGACTGATCCCCCTGGGCAGAAAAATCTATGAATTCTACAATGCACCCATCGTCAAGTTCTGGTTCTACACCGTAAGCCTCTGCTTTTCTCCTTCCCAGCACAGGGAATGGGAGTCAGCGTTCCTTTCTCTTGCCCTGTGTGGTTTTTAAGAGAAGCACCACACAGGCAAGAATGAAAAGCCTCTGGCTTTGCTCTGCCAACAGCTTTATAGGATTCATGAAGTGTGTTAGGCAGCTGCCACAGGGCTCTGTTTCTCCTCTTCACAGAAAGGAAGTGGTAAAAGCACAAATGGATGGAAATGGTGGGGGAACAGATGTCCTTTACTCAAAACGCTTCCCGGTTCTGGACAGATAAGGACTAGATCAGAGTTGCCCATGTTAGATGCCAATCCTGGGCTTGGAGGGGCGTTTGGTAAGTAAAGGGAAGAGCAGTGCAGAAATTACACCCCTAGAAAAGGTCAGCATGCACAGGGAATTATTCCCAGTCTGGCGGTAACATCACCTAAGCTTTCTTGCTCTAACTCAATTAAACGATACGCAAGCAAAGCAGCAAAAACCTGTTGGAAGCTGCCTATGACCAAGGCAGCACTTTTCCTCTATGCCTACCGTGCAAACGCATTTCCTGCCAAAGAATGGTGGGGTGTCCCAAAAAGGCCCCCTGAGATGCTAGGAAGGGCTGGCTGCCTGGCTTTCCACTTCTACTGTTTAATAATATTTTAAGTTTAAGGTGAGCTGGTCCCGGGTTGTCTCCAGTTCTCTCCAGCCTCAGTAGAACTGTGCCAGACAAAGGATGCATTTTCAGCCAGTTCCACAGCCAGCTACAGAGCACTCCTGTGAGTCAGCAATAGGACGGGCTGGATCCGAGGCCAGGAGGACTTGAGTGACTGTGAGATGCATTCAGTGTGGCCCTGCGTGAGTTTCTCAACCTCGGCACTCCTGGTATTTTGGGCAGGATGATTCTCTGCCATGGGCACTGCCCACCACCTCTAGAATCCCTGATGGCTACCCACCACATGACAGCACCTCTTTCTGTCCTCAAGTGGAGCCAACCAAGGGTCTCCAGACTGCCACATACACCCTGGTGGGGTAAAATCACCACCAGTTGAAAATAAATCCAAGGCCTTCACTCTGAGCTACAGCCCCAGCTGCCCCCCCCTTTGGTTTATATTTTTGAGACAGGATCTCACTAAGTCTCTAAATTGCCCAGGCTGGGTTCCAACTTGCCATCTTCCTGCCTCAGCCTCCCAGAGTGCCAAGATTATATGGAGGTATGTGCCCATAGCTGGCAAAAACCATTGCTTTAAATTATAGTCTTTAAAGAGGATGGAAGAATATCAAAATATAAATATTACACTTATTTTTACTGAAGTAAAAATTTAAATGTATTAGCTGGGCATGGTGGCACATGCCTGTTATCTCGGCACTCAGGAGGCTGAGACAGGAGGATCGCCTCAAGTCTGAGGCCAGCCTGGGTTACACAGTGAGTTTAAGGACAGCCTGAACTACATAGTAAGGCTGTCTCAAAAAAAACAAAAACAAAAAATTTTTAGTTTATTTATGGTAAGAAAAGAGAAAATCACCCCCCCCAACAGCTGAGCATATGAAAATCTTTTCTATTTCCCCATAGTACACAGATCTATACTGCTCTTATCTTGCAGAAAGTATTGTAGTGGGGACAAGCCTGGACTCGAGTGGGACGGCCTGGGTGGGAATCCGTCTGGTGGGACCTCAAACAAGTTACTTTGCCTTAAACTGAGGATAGTAACAGTACCTACTTTGTAGAGCTTGGTGAAAATTCAATGTATTAAATAAAATACATAAGGCACTTAGAACAGGGCTTGGAGCTACAGGCACAGTATCAGTGTGGTTAAGCCAGTCATACTGCAGAGGGATAGAAAATCAGGGTTGTATCCATCTATCCATCAGCAACAATATCCCCTACTGAGCACCTACTCTGTCTGGGGCCAATGTGTCAGGTGCTTTCTAAATTTCCCTACTCTTAGCAGCGATTTGTTTGTACTGTGGTTGTATACCTGTGTCTGTCCTTCCTCCATTGTTATGACCTAGAACAGAGCTCGACAAACTACAGCCCTTGAGCCAAATCCAGCCCACAGCCTGCCCTTGTGTCCTGCAAGATAACAACTGTTTTCACATTTTTATTTTATTTATTTATTTTGAGGCGCTAGGCATCAAACCCAAGGCCTCCCGTGCACGCTAGATAAACATTGTAACTACAACGAACTCCACTTCTAACCCATATTTTTCACATTTTTTAAAGGGTTGAAATAAAGTTTAAGAAAATACTTTGTGACACGTGGAAGTTATATGAAATGGAAATCTCAGTGTCCACAAATAAAGATTTATTGGAACACAGACAAACTTACCCTTTTACCTATAGCCTATCTATTCTCAGGCTATAATAGTCAGTTAATTGCTGGTGATAGAGACCCCTGGGCCCACAAAGGCTTAAACTTTAAGCCCCTGAGCCTTTGCAGAAGAAGTGTGCAGGGTCCTGACCTGAAGCCCAGGAGCAAGCAGTAGATGGAAGAGCATGAGGGCTTTCTATCGCTTGTAATGCTGAGTACTCATCCTCTCATCCTTCTGTGGTGGCTCTGTTTTCCTTTCGTGATCTAAATTCAGTACTGCAGTAATTTTAGTTCCTTGATTTCCTTGATTTCCCTGGTCCTCACTCACTCATCTGATTGCGATCTAAGAATGCTTTGAAATCACAACTGCCCTGGTGGGTGGTACTCTGCCACGGCTGCCTGTTGGGATTTAAGCCACTCTCCTCCCAGAGCTGTGATCTCGTGGTGTGGGATGCATTCTGGGCATCGGGATATTTTGCAGCCCCTGGCCGATTGTCATGAGCAGCCGGTGTTGAGAACCACAGGCACAGAGAAGACATTTTGTTAGGAAGACAACTCCGGGCCTCATCATAGACCCACTGACCTCCAGGAAGGAGCGGGAGAGACTTCCCAGCGTCAGCCACGATGAGGCGGGACCCACAGTTCCGCCCGCTGTGCGCACAGCACACTGGGAAACTGTCTTTTTGAGGGGCGACGCCTGGGCGTCCGGGCCTCCCTCTTGCCTGGCTGACAAGGTGACCTCCACCCAGCCAACCCGTCACGCTGGGTTCCCCCGCTGTGCTCAGCTGTTTTATACGCCAGCTCCCAGCAACCCATGCTCACGTGACACAGCTCAGGCCTGTAGGGAGTGTATGGAGAGGAGGTAATGCCAGGCTTCCGAGTCCCCAGAAATGTTTCGCAGTAACTTTCAGCTTTAGGTTGGAGGTCCCATTCATTTTCAGTTGTGTTCTCCAGTTTCCAAACATGTCCCTGCCTACTCTCTGGAGGTTCTGAAGGGGAGGCCACACCTCACCTCCTCACAACCTCACTTCCCATTTCAGGAAGTTTCCCGGGGAGCAGGCTGCTTCCTCTCTGCTCCAAGACAGAGGCCCACAGGGGTTCAGTGGGCCCCCAGGTGCTGCCTGTGCCGGGGCCTGATTCAGTGGTCCAACTGTGGAGGATTCATATTCAAGGTGTGAAGTGGCCACAGGATGAAGGACATGATGTTCACCCTGAGTTTTTCCAGCAGTGACAGGTTCTTTCCTGGAGGCCCAGACAAGTTAGGTGACAAGATAAAGTACATGACCTGGAATTACCACTTTTTTTTTTAAGCAGCGTTGTGGCTCAAACGAAGGGCCTGGCATACACGAGGCAAGTGCTCTACCACTGAGCTACACCCCCACCCCTGAGCTGGACTATAAATCCAAGTCTCACTGACTTCCACCAGCCATACCACACCCACATTCAGAGGACAGAGCAGAGTAAAGGAGTTATCTCAATAACCAGATGCAAACCTTCTGGAAGGACTGGATGTGTTGTGTCACTGAGCCTACAAGAGAAAGTGTGGGATATTTTGCAACAAATTCTGTAAAATGGTAAAACTGGGGCAGCTAAGACTCATTTCACCTGGAAGCAATAGAATTTATCCAGACAGAGAAGAAAGCAACCCAGAAGAGAGAAGGATTTTGAGGTAGGAGGATGAGTATGTTATAGTTTTAATAACTGAATTCCTTTCTTTGCCTTCAGGGCTCCTGGGGCCTCCAGAGTGAACATAATATATTATAATGGTGAACTAAACCGCATGAACCAAGTTATATTTTGAACTAACTTTTAGACAATGTCCTACACAACTTTAAGGAAACTCATGGGATTCTCATGATTTGCTAAGATTCTGAAGGTGGTGAGCAGTCGGAACCAAGGCAGAGGTTAACATGACGGTTCCAAGGCCGGGGGTCCGAAAACACAGCCCCCTTGGCATCTGCACCGCTGCCTCTCTGTGCTTTCGTAAAGGACATCATGTCATGCCAGTATGCTTTTGAACTCCAGATCCCCTTTCCTCACCCTCCAGAGCTCTGGGTTACAGGCCTGTACCACTATGCCTGGCTTCAAAATAAAAAGGGTTTTTAAAAGTGGTGAGGATGTAGCTCGACATGGAGGCCCCCGATTCAGCCCTCAGTACTGCAAAAAAAAGAAGGAGGCTGAAGAAGTGGGGATGCTGCTCAGTAGTAGAATGCTTGCCTACCATGCATGAGATTCTACATAAAAGAAAAGAATAGGAAAGAAGAAAAGACAAGGGAACGGTATGCCACAGTCACGTCTGCAGAGGGGTCCGTGTAATAGGGGATCTGCTCCCTTACCAAAGGGAGTGTGGGGTCCATTTGTAGATCAGGCAGTTCCCCTCCAGTTCCTCTAAGTCTCCCACCCAGCCTGCAGCTTCCTCCTCTGCCTCCTCTTCTTCCTCGTCCTCCTCCACTGCCTCCATGCCCCCAAAGTCACACAGTGTCTCTAGAACCATGAGGGCTTCAATTCTCCTGCCGAGTCCAGCTGTTGGCTCTCTCTCTCTCTCTCTCTCTCTCTCTCTGAAGAGTACAGGGGATTTGGAGAAACTCACTCTGAGCCCATACTGCCTGGCTCAACTTAAGGCACTTCCTAGAGAAGGCACAGTTGATCTGCCAGCTCCTGCAAGGTGAGACGTCTTCTGCAGGACGCCTGCCAGTTTTCCTCCACTCCACTCACACCTTGACACCACTGATCTTGAATGACAGAGACCAAACCTGAGCTCATGCAGCTCTGGCCTCCATCAGTTCAGGCCGTCCTCTCAGAATTCCTCCTCAAGGTGCTGGGTCCTCATGAGCATTAAGCCCCACTTCCCCCACCGTAGACACACAGACCCTTGCCTTTCTGGAAATTCATTTGGCTCATTTTGTTTTACTTCAAAGACACAGAAACCAAAACAAATATTCCAACTTGGGTAGGGCAGGAAGGTATACAATAGAAAAGAGGGAAAACCCTCCCAGGTTGGGACACACCAAGCACTAAGTTAAGACAGTGGAGAAAAGGAAGAGAGCAGAAATGATGTCTCAAGATAACAGTTTCCTGTTGACTTGGCCGATTTGCAGGCAGTACATTCTCACGAGCATTTAATTTCCCTGACGTTCATCGGTCAGAAATCCACTGTGCTGCCTTTGTTCAGGAGCTTAAGGCACCTGTCCTGGCAGAAGCAGCCCTGCCAGTTGAGGTTGCCTTTCAGATATGAGAAAACAGGTAACCGCAAAACAGAATGAGGCAAGATGGCGCAAACTTCTAGGGGCTGTGAGACACATGTAGGAGGCAGTGCAAAGGCCACATATTAAATTATTTCAAACATGACAGCCTTTTGATAGATGAAAGCTGCGAAGTTCATTTTGTCATGGATCCCCTGACCTTGTTCTGTCCTGCTGCACTATGGCCTTGCCCAGCCTCGGCCTGGGCAGCCAGAGTTCGTATTGTGTTTCCTCACAGCTGGCCTACATCGGGTACCTGATGCTGTTCAACTACATCGTCTTGGTGAAGATGGAGCGCTGGCCTTCCACCCAGGAATGGATCGTCATTTCCTACATTTTCACCCTGGGAATAGAAAAGATGAGAGAGGTAACTACCTTCGTGAAAGAAAACAGGAGAGAGATGGTGGTTAGTTCTTTCTGTGCATGGGAGGGAGGACGCAATGCCCAGGATCCTAATAATGCCAGATCCATCCTCTCTGCTGCTGCTCAGGGCTGCTGCTTTCCCCACTGACGAATCCATGGAGCCCTCACGGGTGACGTTTATCGGGCTGTCACTCCATGAGTGCTTTGGATTTAGTTTATTTTCTCCTCACATAGTTCCCCCCACCACCAAATTCCCTAGTCATCGTCCACATAATTTACACGTCTGTTTACTCATCCCTCTACACATGCCTTTTTAAATTTTGCTATTTTTAAATCCCATTCCAACCCCTTACTCTAGGTCTCACTGGACACAGGCCACCAATACCAATATCATTTCTCCAAATGTGTTTCAGCAGCTCTCTGAGGGCCTCTGCTTTCATTCCTTTGTTTAATTTCCCCTCTGGTTGCTTCCTTCTCAACATTTCTCATGCACCTGCTGGACACCAGCCAGTTCTGGTCCTCCAGGCTGAGGGTGAGAGATCCCTCTTTTATCCCATTATCTGTGTGGCCTAAAGAGGCCATCAAAATGCCAGCTATATATGATTTGTTTGAAATGAAAGCCATCCTCCGGGTCAGAGATTTAGCTCAGCGGCACTGCGCCTGCCTGGCAAGCCCAAGGTCCTGAGTGCAATCCCCAGTACTGGGGGAAAAAGAAAGCTAAACTCTGAGACAACTGAATGCTCTTCAAATTCACAAGACAACATAGAAGAAACTTAGATCCAGATTTCTAAGTGAAAATCAGTCTAAAAAGATGATGTGTGTGATTCCAACTATATGACATTCTAGAAAAGGCAAAACAATGGAGACAATAAGAAGCCGTGATGGCCAGAGCTTGGGAGGAGGGATGGATGATAAAGGCTGTTTAGGGCAGCGAGATTATTCTGTAGGATTCCTAAGGTGGATACATGTCGTCATACATACATCCAAACCCAGAGAAGCGCAGCACCAGGAGTGAGCCCTAAGCGATAGACTGCGTCAGAATGCTGGATCGATCCATTAACAAACGCACCACTCTGGCGGAGGCTGTTGATAAGGGAGGAGGCTACGCATATGTAGGAGCAGAGGATATATGGTGAATTTCATTCTTCTTTCCATTTTGCTGTGAACCTAAAACTTCTCTTTAAAAAATAGAGTATTTAACATTTAAAAGAAAAGAAAAGAAAAAACCCCAGGACCCTTAGATGCCAAGAGCTTCTAAAGTGAATGTGGTCAAACCAAAGTCCACAAGAGGGCGCCACAACCCCGCTCAGAGCTCTGCACAAACAGTTCACCAGAGAACACCCACAGGGAAGACAGGCTGGTGAGATGCCCGAGGCTCCTCTGTTTGGGGACTGTGGGGCCTGGGGGGGGGGCTTTCCAGGAGGAAGTGCTTCTGTCATATCCACTGCTCCCCCAACAGCTCAAGAACCATCCTGGTTGCTATACTACGGGCAGTAGGCATCATGGGAAAAAGGATTCCTACCGTCAGCAGATCCACTCTTGCTTTCATCACTAAGACAGGTCGTTACCTTCTTGAGTTTCAGATCTAGAATTCTCTCCCGAGAAAAAGATGCCTTATCTTTTAAGTGTTGAATTGGGATCATTAAAAATAATCTGTGTTCAGAGCCTCCCCCTCGGGTTTTTAAAGTGGTTGGGAGACAACATCATTCTAGCTTGTATTTCTCCATCCTGGGAACTTAGGCGTGGGTACACTAGTCCCATGTTATCAGAACCTGGGTTACATGGGCAGCAAACAAAAGCGATTCAGTGCCTCGCTTTGTTCCAGATGTCTACACCGCAGTCCCCCCATTCGCAGTGCCTCCTGCTTCTTGACCAGTGAGGTGGACTTCCCACTTCTACATGGGACGAAGTAATAAATTTGCTTGGGTCTTCGTGTGGCTCCCTGAGAATGGAGCCTGCTCCCGTGAGGGGCCCTGTGGCTGTGCAGTGCCAGCTGGCGATCTTGAGACTTAACGCCCAGATACATATTCCTTCCCCACAATAAGCAGAAGAGGGAAAGACTCAGGCACAGAGATTGGAGTTCCTCCAGGGACTTGGCTGGAAGAAGACAGGGAGCAGCCTGTACTCAACGGACTGTTCTAGCGGAGGCTGCCAAGCAGGCAGGCAGCCAGGAATCTCCGGGCCTGCTATCCATTTCTCCTGAGGCAACGTGGTGAGGGGCTGTGAGGCGGGTCAGGAAGGGGTCAGTGACAAATCCTTGCTTCTGAGGAAGCCCTGGAGAGGGACAGAGGCAGGGGACACCTTCATGTCTGACCTCTCCCTCTGTGGCCCGTGGAGGTCACCGCTCGGCCTGTGTCCCAGGCCCGAACTCAGCAGAGAGAGGTTCCCAGACTCAGAGCCCACAGGCACCAGCCTTCCTGTCTGTCACAGTCAGACCCAGGCCCTGAGAAGCTGAGACCAGGAAACATGGAAAAGTTTGCACATGTCCATGCCCTCTGAGGGAGACACAAGGGAGGCTTTGTGGTTTCTCAGGCTGCTCTCCCCTTCCCATCCCCATACTCCTGCCTGTGGTCACCAGGCGAGCCATGGTAATCCCTTAATAGCGTGGCACTGTTTACAGTGTGCTTTACTAGACGTTATCTCATCCGGGTCCTCCTCCCACAACTCTGTGAGGTCAATGGAGCGGCTATGATGACACCCGACTTTATAGGTCTGGAAACCAAGATTTGGGGGATTAAGCAATGTTTTAAAAGCCCATGTCTAGAAAGGAGGGCTAAGAGGTGAAGGGGAAGGAAGAGGCACCCTTGACCTTTGACTCCTATTTCATCCTGAGCTGCTGTACTTTTACCTCTTCTTTAAATGTCAGGACTCCACAAAAAAGTTTCTACTATTTAAAAATTGTATTAAAGAGCTCTGTGTTTAGCAGTTTTTTAGGAGACTGAGCAGAGGGTCAGAAAAGCTCCAAGACGTTGTCCTTCCTCCTCCCTTCTCCCCTCCACATACACATGTCGGTTTTTGTACACTTAACGTGGAGACAGAGGGTGAGACACCATCAAGGCACCACCAGCTGTTGGGTAGGACATGAGCAGTGTGTCCTGGGAACACATTGCAAAGGTAGCTCCTCTGGCCCCACCCCAGCCTGCGGAAGCATGGGCGTAATGGGAGAGCTGGCCACCTGGGTTTCAAACAGCTAATTCTGATGTGTACTAAGGTTTAAGAAACCCTAGGTAGGTCTTAAAGAGGGGAACCACAGAGACAGAGGTGGAGTCTACCACGTAGCTCCTGGTATCATCTTGCTCAGCCTTCTAAGCTCCAGCCCTGACTTACTAACATCTCCCTGCCTTGGAATTTCAGACCAGGGGCCACCATTATGGTGGACATGAGGAATGGAACAGACAGATCTAGCCCTGGTCTGTTCTCCTCTTTGAGAAGTTCCAAGTGGAGGAAACAGTCGCTCATGGCTTGAAGAGATGGAAACTCAAGAAGTAAACACAGGAGATTCAGGAGGGCAGCCTGACACCTTCATTAAGCTGGGTGCCGGTGCATTTCCTAGAGCCCATGTGTGTCCGTTATGGAACAAGCCTGTGGTATAAAGGGTCTGCCCTCAGCATTTACAGAACATTTGAAGAGGAAATGATGGCAGATGGGCAGGTATGTAGGTGGGTGGATGGATGGATACATAGATGTGTAGGTAGATGGACGGGTGGGTGAATGAACAGATAGGCAGACACATATTCATGAAAAATATATATGGAGAAAATAATTTCATGTAGTGATAAAAACTCCAAAAAATTAAATACAGTGAGAGTGACTTGGACATATGGAGGCTACTGCAGCTAGGATGGTCAAGGAAGGCCTCCCTAAGAAGGGGACACTTGACTAGAGACCTTGGGAATGAGGAAGAGCCAAACATGTAAAACTCTGGGAAAATAAAATACTGAAGAGAAGGAGTAAGTACAATGCGTAGGATGGACTTGTTATGCTTAAGAACAGGCTGGTGTGGCCTTGGTGGGGAGAATATAATGAGATATGAAAGAAGGCCACGGTGAGGAGTCTGGGTTTTTCTCTAACTATGGCAGAAGCCATTGAAAGTTTAAGTGTAGGAGCATCATACTTTCTGTTAAGTTTCCGCTGTTGTTCATCTCTCCTGTCTCCCTGTTTCAAAACCGAGGTACAGTTTACTGTAACAAACTGAGTTTCTGATAAAGGTGCAGCTTCATGAGCTTTCACCCAGCAATCACCACTAGACGGTAAGTTTTTAGAAAGATCACCCTGTGTGTTCCACAGGGGATGGATTGCAGGCTGACAGGATATGGTGAGAAGACTGCTGCAATCATGTGAGGAAAAAAAGGACTTAGACAGGGGTGGCAGCTACGGAGGGAGTGGGAAGGGCTTGGTTAGGCTGTTTTAAAACAGAACTGCAAGGACTTGTGCACGGAAGGAATGAAGGAGTCTCCTAACAGAGTGACCTGAGTAACTCAAAATACAAGGGAGCTGTTTACAGAGGCGGAGGAAAATCTGTGCAAAGATTTGTAGTGTATTAGGAGCAAATGATATTAGAGCAAAGCCCACCGTGTGTCTAGAATTGTAAGGCAACTTGAAGGATAAAAGCTATTGTTTATCTCTGCTTCTAGACTTTTCAAATCCACATCGCCCAAGCTGAGCTCAGTTGTGCGTTCATAGCATGAAAGCGCTAAGGTAGACGAAATAAACCCTGAGTGTGAGCTCACAGACCAAGCCCTTAGCAACTGAGTGAAACGAGAGACAGGAACGAGACCTAACCCCTCTGTCTCCGGCCCGCTAGATCCTGATGTCGGAGCCTGGCAAGCTGTTGCAGAAAGTGAAGGTGTGGCTGCAGGAGTACTGGAACGTCACAGACCTCATAGCCATCCTTCTCTTCTCGGTTGGAATGATCCTTCGTCTTCAAGACCAGCCCTTCAGAAGTGACGGGAGAGTCATCTATTGTGTGAACATCATTTATTGGTACATCCGTCTACTAGACATCTTCGGCGTGAACAAGTATCTGGGCCCATACGTAATGATGATTGGAAAAATGGTAAGCGGGGTCCTCAGATTCCATGTTGCAAGTTCTTAGAGCAGGAGTAATGATAACAGGAAGAGGGATGTAATTCATTTGAGTCTTTGAACAAGGTTTACAGGAAGTGGCCCTGGGGTGTCTTATTTTTTAACTCCTTTTGAGTGTTTGAGAGTTTGACTACATATGTATACAAAATTTCAATCACCAGCCACTCGTTGGCAAGCTGAAAAATATATAAAGATCATCTATTTTGTGCCAAGCCAGAGTTGGGTATACAAAGACGCTCTTTATGTGAAACTGAAATTGAGAGAAAGAGAATTAACATATAGTATGAGAATGCGGCCAGAGATCTGTACACAGTGCAGAAAAAGCATAGGTCAGGATAGGGTTTCCATTAAGGTAAGTAGCTGAGTGTTGGAGAGGAAATGGTTACCACCACCATCACAATTTAAATAGATTTTTAAAAGATTCTCTCTCTTGCTCTCTCTCTTTTTTTTTTTAGTCGTAGTACTGGATATTGAACCCGTGGAACACCAACCTTTTTTATTTTGAGACAGGGGCTTGCTAAGTTGCCCAGACTGGCCTCCAACTTGCCATCCTCCTGCCTTAGCCTCCTGAGTAGCTTGGATCACAGGTGTGAGTCACTATGTCCAGCTTTAAGAGATATGCTTCTTTTTTTAAGTGAAGTTTTAGAAAGGTGCCTCTCCCTATACAAAGGAATACATATGTAATTTATTTGAGTTGAGCTGAGTTTGAATTGAACAGTATGGATCATATATTTTGTTACCCTGATGGAAAATTATGTTTGTTAAAACTAGATTCTGGAATGACACACCTACTTAATCTGATTTTTTCATAAAAGAACCCCAAATGTCAAGCTAATATGCTTCCATACCAGTGGCCAAGGCCTTGCTCCAATACTCCTTGACCACACATCAGTTTCCAGATTTTTTTCATAAAGATAGAGCCCTAGGAAGACATCACTGTTTGCTCATGAGCCACTCAGCTCCCCACTCTGACTCATTAGAGAAAGAATCGGAGCCTGAAGCCCAGCAAAGGCACCAGTTCCCGCACTTCTCTAAGGATGTTGCCT